GCTATCCACACATTACTGCATCTGGCTGGAACTCCACTGCAAAGGACATGCTCAAGTCTCTCTGCTGTTTCCATGTTAGCCTCTCAAATATCACTTCATCTGCATCAGTTGTCTGAAAAAATGGTTCTGAGTTTACGACAATCCTTCATATTAAAAATCAGAATTGGGGGATGGGGTATAGTTCAGTAGTCGAGTGGTTATTCAACATCCTGTGTTCAATCCCAGAAGTTCAAATAAAAGTGTAAAATTTCATTAGAATGATTAATTTTTAAACCAGAAAGCGAATTACGCTCTGAATACTATCTAACAATAACAAAAAACCCTACATGTTGCGTTCAAATAATTCAAGGGTTCATGAACAGAGAAATCTCATTTATGTTAGTGACCATGAACAGTAATGGAAATATCTGAAGGGGTACCCATTTTATTAAATGAAAGCTAGAATTAGAGTATTTGAGATCACTAAAATGAGGGCTGGGACGATCATTGATTCAGTAATGTGCTTGCCTGTGACAATCTGAGTTTGGATCCCCAACACCCACACACAAGTCAGGCCTATTTGTAATCCCAGCAGTGGAGAGGCGGAGACAGAGGGTCCCTAGGGCTCCCTGGCCAGCCAGACTAATCAACTGGTAAACCCAAGATTAAGTGAAGGACTTCTCTCAAAAATAAGGTAGAGGGGACTGGAGACGTGGCTTGGAGGTTCAGAGAACTTGCTAATATGGCAGCTATAATCCTAGCTCCTTAAAGCTGAAGCAGGGCACCACAAGTTCAACGCCATCTGGGACAACGTAATGAGCCACTGTCTTTAACTTAAAAACTTTAAAAAGGGTGGAGAGGTAATCCAGTGGTACTTGCAGAATATGCATGAGGCCCAGGTTCAATCTCCAACACTATAACAAATACATAAATATAAATAAAAATTATGATGTCATCAGAAACCCATTTTCAGGTTAAGAATAGTATAATTCACCTCTATCAAGTTTAAATCTCAGACAGACATGCCCTCTCCACACAGGGAATCTTTACATAGTAAACCTGATGTTCTAGGACTGCTGCCTTTGGAGCCGTAGAGATAGCTCAGCAGTTAAGAATGCTCACCGCTCTTCCAGAGGACCCTTGTTCAGACCAGAACCTGCATCTTGGGGCTCACAACTGCCTGTAACTCCAACTCCAGAAAACTCAATCCCTCTGGCCTCCTCAGGCCCTCTACACAGACATGCACAATTTAAAAATCAAACAATTCTTTTTTTAATAAAGGATGCTTCCTTTAGAAATGCAATACTAAAACATTGTCTCATACAAAAGAAGCATTATTCCCTCTGATAGCATCTACACAAACATCAGATTTACCTGTTATAAAACTTCACTTTCCTCCTCAGAAACCGCTGCCGTAACAGATGTATTTGCTATGTGTTAACCACGCCACTCCTCTGAAGTCTTAACTACAGCGCACACAAACTTTTATATATGATACATATAATTTATGTTCATAACATGAGTACCTAGTAGTATGTATAACATCTGCCTATTTCCAAAGGGAAATTTTGAAAGTAATTTTATCATATACCCCAATGAGGGTGCCTTTCTAATTTAAACTTTCTGAATTTTCTTTCCACGGGCATTTTTATTTTAGCTTGCATCTCTATGAGAATCGAACAACAGATTAACAGTCATGCTGCGAAGCATATGAAAGCATTTCAATCCGAAGTGTTCCTTCTGCGTCCGTGCCACCCTCCAGCCTCTCACTGTACTCCTGCACACTAATGCAGACCCCGGCATCCGCCAGCCTCTCACTGTACTTCTGCACACTAATGCAGACCCCGGCCACCCGCCAGCCTCTCACTGTACTTCTGCACACTAATGCAGACCCCGGCACCCTCCAGCCTCTCACTGTACTCCTGCACACTAATGCAGACCCCGGCACCCGCCACCCTCTCACTGTACTTCTGCACACTAATGCAGACCCCGGCCACCCGCCAGCCTCTCACTGTACTCCTGCACACTAATGCAGACCCCGGCCACCCGCCAGCCTCTCACTGTACTTCTGCACACTAATGCAGACCCCGGCCACCCGCCAGCCTCTCACTGTACTCCTGCACACTAATGCAGACCCCGGCATCCGCATGCTTTCCTTCTCCTCTCACTGCAACCCAAGGCAAGGACTTAAGAGAAGCTAGCAGTATCACCCCACATGATACTGCATCTGTGTTGACATCTGACTCTAATCACATGCTTAGAAGTGATTTATAAAGGGGAAAGAAATGGGCAAAAAAAAAATCACTGTGAGAAATATTTTAGAAATATTCCCAGTACAGCTTTCTCATATTTCAAAACCGCTAAAATTACACGCATAGAGGTGTACATGATCTCAAAAATAGTGAAGGCTAGACAAAGAAACAAACAAAAATAATAGTTATTCCTCATGCTTTTATACAGGGCCATCTAACCAAGCAACTTATGCTTTCAGTTTATATAAGACACTTCTGATGTTTGGCTTCATGTGAGAATTTCATACATGTGAACTCTGATAAGTTCCTTAATTCATGAAAAAAAGAAATTAATTATACTCATTCATGGAGATCTCAAGAAGTAGGACAGTACCACATTAAAGACAGACCTGTCAGAAATGAAAAACGGCGTTTCCAGACACAATCCATAAGCAGTTCACACTGACTTACCTGACAAGTCAGGTACATCCTATTTAATTCAAGACAAACACTGTGGCTACTGCATTATGGCAGAATCACAAGTGCATTTCTAGAACTACCATTAACGTAAATAGGAAAGAAATGCTTCTAACTTCTGACCCAAATGCAAGGCTTAAGGATTATATTTACTTAACTGTATTGACACAAAGCAATAACATAACTAAATACTTTAAATTTCATGCAATTATTTATAAGCCAAAGCCAATGGTTTTCTTAAAGTGGTAATTATTTGAATACAACTAATCAATTAACAAATTGTTAAAGCCTAAAAAAACCTGTATTTCTTAATTTATAACTGGTAAACTCAAAGTTAATATGCTGCCAGATTCTTCACTAAAGGTATGCATGGGATGAGAATGAGCCACCATTAAGTGATAAGGAGACTTACAGGACAAATGATAAAATCAAAGTCTACAACCAACAACAGATGACTAGCATCTACTTTAGTCTCCCAACCCATCTACAGTCTTAAGTTTACTCAAGTTATAGGAAATTACTACCCAGTACTGTCAGTAACTAAAACTTCTTTTACCATACCTAACCATGGACATCTTTAACATTTGAAAATGTGTTTTTCAAGACTCCTACTATCATCATCAACAACAACAACAACAACAAAAGGTTTAAAAGTATGGTGGTGAATATGCAAAATAAATATACATAGTCACTGCATTTTTTTGCCCAAGTCTAAAACCAAACTTTTTATAATGTAAATATAACTGCTTTAATGTAATACCAGAAAGCTCCAATTTCAAGATTTTGGAGCTTTAATTTGTAAATACATTCACATGAACACATTCCTCCCTCTTTCTAGTATCAGTAAACTAGAAGACACTTAGGCTTGTTGGAAGATTCAGAAGGACACGGAAGATTCCCCATCAGCAGAGAGGACCAGCAAGCTTAGGATGCTGCACCAGCAGTGGTTTTTGCTAGCATCCTCTACTGGTGGTTTCTAAAGACAGCAAGAAGAAATGGTGCTAATGATAGAAAGGTATGTGCCTGCTATTCCATCTAAGGTGAATTAGTCAGCATGCAGCCACTGGGAGCAAGAGCTCATTTGTCACGAATAAAAGGGGGGAAGGAAAACATCAAACAGAACAGAACTTTGGAAAATAGAAAATATTTCTAAATACAACAAAACATTAAATTATAAACAGTAAAAATGAATTTCAGCAATCCTAATGTCATTCCTTCAGATGGCTAGCATCATTACCATAATGTCCCCCACACAAGGTTCGATGATTTAGGCAAGCCTGCTCAATTGCTACACCCTTGTTAAGTTACAGTTTTTGATGCTGTCATCCGTATCCTAGCCTGCAGACAGATTCTAGGAAGGAAATAAAAATATTTTACTGCTGGCTTAGCTGTAAAATCTAAATACCCTACTTCAAAAATGAAAACAAATATAATTTACACATAAATAACATAAAATATCTCTATTACAATCTCCCACTCTACACACCGCTATTTATTCATTTAAATGGATTTTAAGAGTTAACATCTTTCCAGATAATTCTCTCCCCACACATCTGCAACTTAAATATGACTGCGTTGCACAGAAATATCAACCAGCACCTATCCCCAGGTTTCACAACACAATGCATATAACTTCATTTTCAATTTGCAAAAATAGCAGGCTACATCAAACAGCATGGCTGCAACGGTCAGCGCTGGCTGAAAGCATCAGAGAACAAAAAGAAATACAAAGAGAGAGCCAAAAGTGACGAAAATGGAAGATACCTGTGGTAGCACAGCGCTATCTCACACACCTTTTGTTTTCTCCGAGTAACGAATACTGCAGTCAAGACATTTCAGGCTCAAGAGCCCCAAATCTGTTTTTCTAATATTAAACACAAAGGAAAAACACTGACAGCGAGCGTGGTAAATAAATCCCTCCCCTGAGAAGGAAGGCGGCAAACAGGAGGGGGCTGACATACATGCAGGGGAAACTAAACACCATCTTTTTTCTACCTGCACAAGTTGCCATTTGCTGCAGCGATCAAGAATCTCCTTCCTGTTGATTTCAAGCACCTTTCAGGATCGCTTTCCACCCTTAAGTCATCTGTTGATATGCCTTATGTGTGTGATATTAATATCTCAGGATCTCTAGGAGAAAAATCCATTCTTTCCTGTTCAGGTAAACATGTTTACAGCAGCTGCACAGAGGCTGGGTGGTTCAGACTCACATGTCACACACATGTCGTCAGCAACAAGAAAAGCCCCTTTCTCTGGCAATCAACATTTTAAATAAGGCAAGGGCAGCGAACAGCCCTTTCCTAACCAACTTACCTTTCATAAAGCCACATCAGCGATAGCGGCAACAGCTCAATGTAGAACAGACACTATTTGACGCTAGAAGCAGGAAATTACAATTGCGGTAGCCTGTGCTCAGGTCCTTGCCACCACCAGTCACCTCTCCACAATGACGCTACCCAACACACCTTTCCCTCCGAACGAACAGGCTTCTCTGAAACACAACGTTTATCTGAACAACTGAAAATCATTCATGGCAGCGGGGATTTTAATGTAGGCTCAGATATATTCAAAATGTGTTTACAACCGAGAGGAATCCTCTTTGGAACAGCCTAAAATCTTCGTATCTGCTTCTAGACAGGAAATCCCACACAAAATCTAAAATTGCCAGGAAAGGTTACAAAACCTGGCGTTTGGCATCCCGGAGGGGAGGGAGCAACACAGACCGGGCGGGGGTGGGGCGCGGGGGGCGCGCCAGGGTTGCCACTTAAACAGGATTTCCTAGTTCTCCGGACGCCACATCGATGCCATCAGGGGCGCATTTATTACCCCCCCCCATTCTTAAAAACTCGTCGTTTAACGCCCCGCGGGAGCCCCACGGAGCCACCGGGTGCTAAAGGCACGAGGAATTCCTTATATAGCAGCGGCCGCAGCAGCACAGGGCTGTGGCCGCCCATCACCACACACAGGTACCCGGGCGGGGGCATCCCCCGGCCGCCGCCGCAGGGACTGTCCAGACAATGACCAGGAGCAGACGGCTGTCCGCGCCGCGAGCCGAGAGCACACACTCGCCTAAGAGAGGCACCATCTAGCAACTCCTGCGTCTCTCCACGCTGGGAGAGCCCACGCACACGATGCACCCACCGATACAGGTCAGAGTGTCGCGCTCTCTCCTGGTGCCTGTGGCTTTCCCTCTTTCTTAAAAAGCAAAAACAAAAAGACCAACAACAACAAAAAAAAAACTCTGCAGCCGGGCCGAGGAGTGTGTTTCCCTGGCACATCCGCGCAAATCAATACCCCCGCGCAGCTGCACCGCGAGCCGCAGCCCCGTGCGCCCGTCGGGCCGCCCGCCCCCTCCCCCACCCGCCCCACTCGCGACCCCGAGCGCCAGCCCAACTCCATTATCTGCCCTCGGCTCGCGCGTCCGGCCCAGGTAACAACTTCCCCAAACCGAAAGAGCCAAAGCGAGGCGCATGCACACAGCCCCGTGCCCGCGGGGACTCGGGCTGCCCGGGCGTCCCGACCTGTCTGTGCTGCTTCCCGGCCGTAAGCAGCAGGCGGCGAGTCCACGCACACGCTCGGCCCACGGCAGCAGCAAGGAGCCGCCCGACCCCGCTCGGCCCCCGACGGGCACCGCACGCGCGGGGTTCCAGCTCCCCGA